TCGCAGTAAAGTAAAAATTTTCGTCCACGTTTTAGCCCGGAATCTGAATCGATTTTGTGAAAATCAAAAACTGTTCGATAGATATTGGTTGGGAATCGTGCTGAGTAGTTTTTGGTAAAGATCGGCCGAGCCGCTTTCTTGTAATAAAATTAAAAAAAAAATCGACGATTTTTATGATTTTTTTTTGACGGTAGATACCATAGTTTTGTAGATCATACTAAAACATTACGGTCTTACGACAAGTCGTTAAATTTCAAAAATTCTTCAAAGTTTGCAAAAGTTAGTATCGTTTTTTTGGCGTTTGTCAAAATTAGACCTTTGATCGACGTTTTCTTAAAAACTCCTGAACCGATTTCAGAAATTTAAAAACCATTTGATGTATCTCGATGAGGATTGTCGTCGTTTTGTGCGACGATCGGACGAGCCGTTTCTTTGTAATTTGGAAAAAGTGTTAAACTTTTCGTCCACATTTAAGATCATACTACCGAATCGATTTTAAAAAATCAAAAACTGTTCGAAAGATATTAGCTGGGAATAATACTGATTAGTTTTAGGTGAAAATCTACCGAGCCGTTTTCTTGTAATTAACTGTTGAAAAAAAAATAATTTTAATTTACATGGAACTTGTTTTGGCGATATATATCATGCTCTTATAGAACTTACTAAAATATTACGGCTTTACGACAAGTAGTTTAATTTTAAAAATTCATCAAAGTTTGAGAAAATGAGTAGTTTTTTTGATGTTTGTTAAAATTAAAATTAGACGATTTACTTGGTATAACGATAGAGTACTTGGTATTAATGAACATACTAAACAATTAAAGTCCTACAAAAAATTGGCTCAATTATAAAAATTATTGATTTTTGAAAATTTGCTTTTAGAAAATACTCCGAGCCAAAGTTTCTTTCAATTATGTGTAATAAATACACTCGGAATACTTTTAATGACTCATAAATTAATTTATTTTTTATTGATTAGGTCGATTATTTAAACATATCGGGAAGTTCATGTAACTTGCCTCAAGGCAAAATACCAAACCAACTAGTTTTTTTATAATCCTTTCAAATAATATGATATAAACGATATAAAACTTTCAAATAATTATTTGTCGAAATCAACTTCTAAATAGTAGCATTATACACTATATAACCTTAACCACTTAACTAGGGGGCGTCCATTAATCACATGAGGTTTTTAGGAGAATGGGGGTTAGACAAAAAATTACGAAATATTACGTTGGGGAGGGGGGGTATAGTAAGATATCACATGTATTTATTTTTTAACTGATTTTTTTAAAAAAAAATCAAACATTTTCAAAAAAAGAATCAAAAATTTTGTTTTTTCACGTAACTAAAAATACACGTGATGTTTGGTGGGGAAGGGGGGTAATTTTGAATATCACCAAGGGGGAGGGGGGGGGTCCAAAAATCCTCAAAAACTAGCTCACGTGATTAATGGACGCCCCCCTAGAAAGTATTCTGTATAATTGATCGTTAATACCTTTTTTGTCCCATTCCTATATTTCTGTATATCTACTTATTATTGATTCAATTACTTTCGTGTTCAACGAAGTTTAAAGTTTATTATCTCGTTTATTATCATCTGTCCGATTGTTCGTTTCCCCTGCCTGTCGTTACACGCGCCGTTGTGCACTTGTGCGGTGGCGGCGGCCGCGGTGTCGACGGCAGTTGAGGCGGTGGATGAGGCGGCGGAAGAGTCGGAGAGGCGAAACAACGCGTGTCGCCACTCATCGCGCTTCGTAACAGAGACACACGTGCAACGCGGCCAAATCGCGCGACTCACATACTAATATACATTCCGTTTCGACGTCATAGACATACTCATATTCATATCATACCTACTCGTCGTGTAATATCCGACACAAAAATTAGCATAGCCTGCAAAATATGGTAAAGGACACATATGTCTGTGACAACATATTTATATTGCAACTAGATGACCCGACAGACGTTGTCCTGTACCCATGTTTGCAATTTTTTAATATTTAATATAATATACAAATAACAGCTGCATCATCAATTTTGGCAATATGTAACAAAATATCGACAATAACATCGGATTTGGGTTCCTTCTGCCCCTTATGGGTCTCTGGGTAACTCTTTGCTTCTTATAATTCACCACCATGCCCCAATCGTATTCATGCAGAGTGTTTTTAACCTAGGGTAAATGATATTTTATTATTAACTAGATGACCCGACAGACTTTGTCCTGTACCCATGTCTACAATTTTTTAATACAATATACTAATATTTACCGTTTACCTAAAAATAATAATTATTGTTTTTTAAATTACTCTTCACGCCAAAATGCATATGCATTTATAATATGGGCAATGATGAGTCTCAATTCCCACACTATATTGGAAATTGAAGTCTTTTAAACGGTATAACATAACCATACCCATAACGTAACACTGGTACTTCATGTTGGATTAAATTAATTTAATTTTTTATTATTTAACATATCTAAAATTGCATCTCAAACTTCTCCTCATCGACATCGTGAGGGCCGAATTGTATGTATTCATCTTTATTTTCCCATTTGTTGTTATAAAGTGAAATTTTTATGAATTTTAAAAATATTGTGGAAAGATTAGTAAAAGATGCAAAGAAATTATATATTGAAAAAAAAACTATATTGAAAATATAATATCCGAATCTTGTGTTGGCGCCCCCTAAGGCGTGCGCTCGTATTTTTTGCAAGCATCGCATCAAAGGTAGGACCGGCCCTGATTAATACTTAATTTCATATTTTAATTGAATTAATTTGTCATATCCTGCTCATATGTGTATCATTCAATCTGCCATACATATACTGTATTTTATGTTATTTCAATTTCTGGCACATCTCAGTCATAAGTTTATTTATTAATATGTATATTAATTCAGAAGGTTATTTATTAATATGAATATTCTAATATTGTCTAGGTTCATAAGTAAATTGATCGCCGTGAGCCATCCTTGGACTTCAACGATCATTTAAAAAAAAAATTGGCCAAATTGGTCCAGGCGTTGTTGAGTTATGCGCTTACCAACACATTTTGCGATCCATTTTTATATATAAGAAGATATCTATACTATTTAAAATTGTTTTTCAGGATAATTTATAATCGCAAAAATAGACTATGAAAATTTCACGTTTCGAAGGTTTCTGAACATTTTGACATACCTTACAAAAAATGGATGTATGTCTCTTTGTGTGTGTATGTATGTGCGGATACACAATTTTTTATCGACGATTTCGAGAACACGAATCAACCGATTTGAATGATTTGAAAATGTTGTTAATAAAAAAAATAAAAAAACACACGCACACACAACCATTTATTTTGAGGTATGCCAAAATGTTCAGAAACTTGCAAAACCTAAAGAAATGTAAAAAAAATTGATTTTTGGACGATTACAATAACTTAACCTACACGAAGTTAAAAAATGCTATTTTGGACATATGCACATTTATCAAATTATTAGAAGTATTATAGAAATGTTAAATCTTAGTACAAATTTTGTCATTTATTTGGTTTCTGTATCAAGATTTACAAAATTATAATTGTGAGAATATTCTATGTTCACTTTTATATAGCTCAAACAAATGTCCTGGACATTTTTCATAGTGTGGATCAACCGATATGAATGGATTTCAGAATTTTCAAGATTTTCAAAAATGACGAACTTTTTCAATAACTTCAACAAAAAAAATAATTTTTCAGACTTTAAATAGATAGACAGTACATATAATATATTTGCTAAAAGCTACATTACTTACAAAAAGTTTGTTATGTAGAAAATTGTATTGAATTTTGTACAATGGTTAAGCAAAGAAATCTACTGAAAGAGATCTACAGTCCAGAAAAACATTAAGTTTTGTACTTAGTAGATCGAATCAAAAAAAAATCTTATTTATTTAAATAGTATTAGTGTTCAAATGATAAATTTCAGCCGTCAAATATAAAGATATTATCAGAATTCAAAATATAGAGATATTTTATAGATAAATGTGAAAATGAACTAGATGAAAGTTACATTTTGGCTCATAGAAAGTTACAAAATCATCCCAATATAATAATTGACTTATCAATAAGAATTCAGCTTTGGAAACTTTTAAATTTGTGACAATAAAATTTTGAGATATTGAAACAACGGCCTATAATATTTTTGGATGTTCCTTATGCTTGTACATTCTTTCATCACAAAGTTTCATCCAAATTGTTGAAAAAAATTATTGAAGTTTTCATATTTTAATCGTTATATACAATAAATGCTATAGCATCCACGTCAAGTATTACGCCTTTATTTCACCCAATGAGTTTGAGGACAAGATAATACAAAAATATCTGAAGAATCAGTTAGTCATCACCTTTACAGGTGCAATAATTGCAAAAACTTAAGGGTAAATTCAAAATAATTGACCTTAAAATTTGAATGCCATAGCTATATACATTTGAATGAATGCTATAGTCCAAAAGCTGCATTTTTCATTTGAACCTTTTTGAAAATTACTTTATACCTTTATTTTTGACTGTGGTCCTAGAAATGTTACGTAGGGTTTTGGATCTTGAAGTTCAAAGTAACAAAAATATAAAAAATTAGCCCCAATAACAGAAAAATAGTCACTGTTAACGTACGTACGTTAAAAGACTCATAACGTACTTAAAGGCTCCTAATTTTCAAACAGCATGGGATAATTTTTCTTCCCGTATTGACGTTGAGTTCTGGAACTCATTCTATAAGAGTCAATTGTAGACGTTGTGTAGTGCCGCGCTTGTGATTCGTTTATTATAGTGCATCGTTTGTTTGTTACAGTATGACTACACAGATCAAGAGGAAGGCATTGTCACTTCAAGAAAAAATTGTCATATTGGATGTTTACGATCAAAAATCGCCAACAACGAAACAAACTCAGTTGGCCGCGGAGCTTCGCCTACCGGTTTCAACATTACGCACCCTCGTAAAGAACAGACATGAGATCGAAGAAAAGTACAAATCCGGAGGTGTGCAGAGAAAAAAGCACAAGGTAGGAAAGTTTGATAAGTTGGAAAAAATTCTGATAAAATGGTTTCATCAAACGCGAGCTGCAAACCTGCCTATAAGCGGTCCCATAATATGTGACAAGGCGCGTAAAATCGCCGAAGAGTTGAAGATCACTGATTTTAACGCTTCTAATGGCTGGATAAATCGTTTTAAAAATCGACACGGTATCGTGTATCGTCAAAACAGTCTGGAATCAGAGGCACATCATGAGGATGATGAAACTATGCAAAAATTCTTCAATAACGCGGTCGACGTCGTGTTGAAGGAGGAAGAGGACGAGGAGATACTGCAGGATTTTCTTGGTCATTCTTCCATTGATGACAAACAATTAATTGAAAATGTTAATAGTACACAAAACGAGACTCTAAGTGATCATGATGATGACGTAGATGAGTCAAAACCAGTTCTGACCAAAACCCAGGCTTTAGCAGCTATTAGTGATTTAAAATGTTATTTATCTTCTTTGGATCAAAGTGAAGACGCACTGCAAAATTTGAATTATGTAGAAAATTTTATAATTGATAATACATCCAAGACGTGAAGTAAAACTAATGATAATATTAGGTAAAGTAATTAAAATTACTCCAGGTATTTAAGGTAATTTATATATGTATAATTTAATTACGAAAATTAGAATATAATACATACAACTATACACAGTAAGTTTTATTTTTCTTATCCCTCCTGCGCATTCTCGCTTAAGCCGCATTTTTTTTAACTTCCCGAAGAAGTTTATGTTTTCATCAAAAAATCTTATTTGCTAATTCTATGTTTTCTTGACGTTTCAAGCCATTCTGAATCGAATGAGACTAAATTTGAAAAAAGTATGTATGTGTGTGAACAGATTTTTTGCCGTAAATCGGCGTTTTCTCAAAAACGGCTGGACCGATTTCAAAAATTTAAAAAGCATTCGATGCATCTCGATGAGGACTAGCGTTTATCCAAGCCAAGCCGTTTCTTTGTAAATAGCAGAAAAGTGAAATTTTTTTGTCCACGTTTTAGCCCGCAATTCTGAATCGATTTTTAAAATTCAAAATTTTTTCGAAAGATATTGGTTAGGAATCGTGCTGATTAGTTTTTGGTAAAGATCGGCCGGGACGTTTTGTTGTAATGAAGTGTTAAAAAAAGTTTTTCGACAATTTTCATGATTTTTTTTAGATACCGTAGTCTTGTATATAGATCATACTAAAATATTATGGCCCTACGACAACTCGCTTAACTTTAAAAATTCGTCAAAGTTTGTAAAAATTGTTTTTTTGACATTTGTTAAAATTAGACCTTTGATCGACGTTTTCTCAAAAACTCCTGAACCGATTTCAGAAATTTAAAAGCCATTTAATGTATCTCGATGGGAACTTCTCGTTTGTCAGTTTTGTGCGACGATCGGCCGAGCCGTTTCTTTGTAATTTGCAAAACAGTGTTAAACTTTTTGTCCACATTTAAGCTCATTCTACCGAATAGATTTTAAAAAATCAAAAACTGTTCGAAAGATATTAATTGGGAATAATACTGATTAGTTTTAGGTAAAAATCTACCGAGTTGAACTATTGAAAAAAAAAATTAAGCCGATCTTTATGGAACTTTTTTTGATTATATATCTCTTTATCTTATAGAACTTGCTGAGATATTACGGCCTTACGACAAGTAGTTTATTTTAAAAATTCATCAAAGTTTGAGAAAATGAGTAGTTTTTTTGACGTTTGTTAAAAATAAAATTAGACTATTTACTTGGTGTAACGATAGAGTACTTGGTCTTAATGAACATACTGAAAGTCCTAGGGAAACTGGTTCAATTATAAATATTATTAGTTTGTGAAAATTTGCTTTTAGAAAATACTCCGAGTTAACGTGTTCGTTCGTTTTCAATTTTGTGTAATAAATGCACTCGGAATACTTTTAATCACTCATAAATTAATTTATATTTTATTGATCAAGTCGATTATTTACACATATCGGGAAGTTCATGTAACTTGCCTCAAAACAAAATGCCAATACCAACTAATTAATAGGATAACTATCTAATAACTATCCATTAATAATTCCTTCTATTATTGCAATAAATACAGGAGTTTGAACAGATCCTCAATTACTTAGGATGTTGAATTGGATTTTAGACTTCCCAGTTGGTTGGGTTTCTGGCTCTGCATTTTACCAATTATCTTCAAATTGACCTCACTGGAAATGTTCCACGATTCTCCAGTTCGTCAAACGGTGCCGTCGTCGTATGATTTTTATCTCGATTTTTTTCCAACATCTCTCCTCTACTGGTTTTTGCTCTGTTTTCAATTCGTCCGCCGCCTCCTCGTTGTCGTGTTCTTTGTTTTCTCCTCTTGGTCTCTCGGCTGTTCTTGAGCTTTTGCTGTTGCCGTTGCCGTTTTACCTTCGTGCTTTTTTTATCTCTCGTCAACGAGATACGCAGTTTAATAGTGAGGAGAGGTTCTCAATATTAAATGATAATTATCAATAATAATGATTTAATATTGTGATATAAAATAAGCTTTTAACTACGAGCGTCGCCTACAAGCGACATCTGCTTGACGTCTTATGTCTCCTATAAACCCCAAATATTCATCACTTTTAGTTAAATAAACAGATTGCAGAATTAAATTTAAACTAGTGGGGCGCATGGCATCGTGCCTTAAGGCAAATTGCTGGAATTTCTCGTACCGAAAACTACATTATTAAAAAAAAACTTTGCAAATCTTTAAAAAAAATCAGATTTATGAGAAATATTGAAATTAAAAAAAAAAAATTGACTTTTGAAAAATTTGTTTTTTTTACATTTTATTAACTTCCCGTAGGGTAAGTTATTATAATGGGCCGAAAATCGAAATTGAAAATTTTTACATTTCTCGACGTTTTGAAGGTTTCTGAACATTTTGGTATACCACAGAAAAAATGGATGTGTGTGTGTGCGTGTGTGTATGTATGGATACAAATTTCCAGTCACGTTTTCGGGCGCAAGGATCAATCGATTTGAATGGTTCAAAAAACATTCGATTCCTATTGATAGGGAGATGTGCTGATTAGTTTTTGACAAAGGCAGGTCTAGCCGTTTCGAAGATACGGAGCAAAAAGAACCAAAAATGATAATTCAGTTTTCGAGAGAAAGAAGCGTCCAATTTCAATAATTTTTACAAAAAACATTTTTTTGTATTGACTAAAAGAAGAACTGTTTAAATTTTTGGAAATGCAGGTCCAGCGGTTATGGTCTCTCAATAAAATAAGTTAAATAGAATGTTATTTGGCAGTCAAAAATGTTTATTGGACATATGCACATCAAATTTTCAGATATTTTATAAAGATTTTCATAATGTGTACACATTTTGTGTAATTTTTATTTTGGGTTCCGTACCAATATTTTTAATTTCTAAGTTTATTTATATATATATATATATATATATATATATATATATATATATATATTAGTTACAATTTATTTTTGTTAATCAAGACTTTAATGTCTTATTTACAAAATTGATATGAGCAAAAAAAAATACAAAAATACAAAAAAATGCAAGAAATTGAATATAAAATGAAAAACGTTAACCGATTTGAATGATTGAATGATTGAAACCGGGATAACCGATTTGAATGATTGAAAAAATATTCGGTTCGTACTCGATCGCAAGACGTTTTTGCAAAAGGCACGTATTGCCGTTTCGGAGAAATGGAGCGCAAAGGGTGTAAAAATGGTCATGCCGTTTTTGAGAGAACGGATCATCCGATTAGATTAATTCAAAAAACATTTTGCTTGTGTAGACTGTGTGCAAAGAATGCTTTTACAGAAAATTTCGTAAATTTGAAAATTAAAAAAAAAATCCAAAATTTAAATCTTAAAAAAATCTAAACTTTAAAAAATTTTAACAAATGTCGAATTTTTTTTTTAAAAAAGTTTTAAAATATTTCGAAATTTAAACAAAAATCGAATATTAAAATAAAAATCAAATTATCAAAAAATTTAAAAAAAAACGTTTTTTTTCAAAAATTCCATAAAATGTCGAACTTTAAAAAGGTTTCAATATTTTGAAAAAACATTCAAAATTATCAAAAAATTAATTTAAAAAAATGTATATGTTTCCTAAAAATGATAAATAATCAATTTGAAAATTATTAAAACAATTGTCATTAATTATTAAGTAATTTTTTTGATTATTGATTATTTTCATTCCTCGAACGTTTAATTATGGTACGGGAAGTTTCAGCAATTTGCCTTAATGCACGATGCCATGCACCACTAGTTAGTGTGATATTGATATAATTACCAAAAGTCAAAATGGTCCTTTGTGCCCCAGTCTACCCTACTTTACATATCATTACAATATTTTTTATCATCTTTTATTAAAGTTTACGAAACTGTGCCGCCGCGTCCGTCCATTTCGCTTATCGCTCTTTCGCCCGTCGGCCGCGGCTGCTACCGTGTGTGGGCGCCACGCCACGACACCACTTCTCGCCTCTATTCATCTCTCGTTCTCTCTCCATACGTTTTATATGTTTGCATCTCTCTCGCACTCGCTAGCTGATGATTTTCAGAAACCGCATCAGAAAATTGTTAGAGATCGTTATAAAGGAATTTTGGATGGAGATGATAAATTTTATGTTATGGTTGGAGACTAGAAACGTTTGAATGTATTTTTAAAGTCGACTGTAATTTTTGTGTATTCTTTCCTTTTATACTTGTTTTTGCATAATTTTTTTCTTGCAATTGTTCTAATAGCTAATTAAGTAATATAATTATATTTGACATGCAATACAAATAAAGAAAAAAATCAAAGTAAAATGTTTTAAAAAAATATATTGGCAACTCTTCATTTATTTCCGGCAATTCCTATCCCTTTGGCACTTTTGCCTCGTATCTCCAAAACAGCTAGACCTGCCTTTGCCAAAAACGAAACTGATTCATAGATTGCATAGTCTAAAATAACATTCCTAAATATATTATTAAGTTCGCGAAGGAGAAGTTTATGTTTTCATAAAAAAATC